CCTCCCTCGTCCATCCCAAACTCTGTTTAGTCCATTTTACTATTTGTGAGACGAGGATTTATCGCTGGCTTGAGCCAAACCTAATAAGGACAAAATTCCCCATTGGCTCTGCTGTATTTCATAACATTTGAACCATTGCCTGCATGGCACAGGTAGGTAGCTCAGCTCAGGGATCAGTATAGCACAACTGGGTATGGGAATCTGTGTGGAGTATTGCGCATTATGCCATGTAGACATACCTACAGTTTATACTGTTCTTATACTGGTTTTCTTAAAATCTGAGTCTGCCCAATGTGTGGGCCAACTGACGGAGAAACCTGTCTGTGAACTAGTTTAGTGAAGGTGATGCATCATAAATGCTGTTCATTGTGCCAATGTCTTACTCTTTTAAGTAAAACATGTCTTAACCCCTTGACCATCCTGTGTATATAATAAGTTCTGTTGAATGGTCCTAACCCTGTGGGTACATGGTGCATGCCATATTAACTTTGCTGAGTCTGAATTGGAAAAAAATTAAGTCTCTAGGCATCCTTGGGGCGCAGCACTAAAATGGTTGAAGAGTTTTATGCCTGAATTCAACAACAAACATAAATAAAATCTATTTTACTTTTTAAAGAGCGCAAATAAGAGCCCTTGGAGTAGGATTTATTTCAGTGTTTTGTGCTGCTGGGCATTTACTGTAATTTTAACTTGTTCTGAATTAAGGAAGAAATGTGCTGAAATATCCCAGTCCCTAATTTTCAATTTCACGTAAATACTAAATGGGTTATTGCATTTTGAAAGCACTAAAGCAGATTGCAAAAAGGTTCCACATTTTTCGTTTTAAAATAAATTAAATCACTTTAATTGCTAATTGCATGTTGCAGTGCTGCTAAGTTGTCAGTTCTGCAGTGCATTTAAACTTAAGAATACAGTTTTAAATGTACTTTCCCCTAAAATGAGAATTTCCCTTTCCAGTTACATCTTTGAGATGCTTGGATGTAGTTTGTGAAGGGCCTGACCCCTCTGAGGTGGGTGGAAGTTATTGCAGGTGCATAACAACTTAATTCTGAGCAATTTTTTCTAGTGGGACCGATCATGTGAATAAAATGACTTCTTCAGAGGTGTACACCCTAATCAGTTCCATTGGTACATTCTATGAGAATCATTACTGAGTTTTTATTTCAAGTACAACTGGGACCAAATTGAAACATGAATAAAGGAAGAAACCGTTGCAACAAGGCACATTTAGCCAAGTACCATGGAAACTACCTTGGCTATGGCACTTGGCTCTTCCACACACTGTGCTGGAGTGAGGGTCTTTCTAAATGAAAGGATTTGTAGGTTCATAAATCTGCCTTGTGTGGTATGGCACTTGGCTCCTCAAAACTTCCATTGAAAAGCAAGAAGTTGTTTTGTTTTTTTTTAAAAGATATCTGTATGTTTTCACTTGCTTTGCCAAAAATAACAAAAGCTTTGAGCTATCTCAGTGCTTCCAGCAACCTGAAAACAGCTATAAATGTATTGAGTGCATTCTTTTACTTGAAATCTTACCTAACAGTGCAAGTTTTGTATTTATCAGACTCTTCAGTCTAATTCATGTTGCATATGAAGAGTTAGTCAAGCATTGGAACAGGCTACTGTGGAATCTCCATCCCCTGGAAGCTTTCAAAAGCAGGTCAGAGAGACAGACGACTGGAATGGCTTAGTTGGGGGTTATGTACAAACACTAATTTTTCTACTGGAGGAGCTGCTGCTCTTCCAGTAGAAACTGCGAGTGATAAGAGTTCAAGATTTTTTCTCCTGGAGCAAAAATGGTGGTTCTGGGAGAAAAATAAGCCAATCCCAACCCAGTAGAAGCTGTTTCTGGAAGAGTTCCTCCTTGGAGACCAAACATTTGTACACTTACCTTGTCTGATAGAAGCCTCAAGGCAAGTCTGACATCCCAGTGTGCATTGCTCCTGCTCCCTCCCCCATGGGCCCGCGGAGACTGTGTGTCACTCAGGATATGCTCTAGTGCTCCAGCCAAGCAGGGAGGAAAATGTTTCCTGAATGCTGTGGGACCCTTTACCATCCCCATGCTGTCTCCCATGGCTACAGGGAGACTTGGGCTGTTGAGGCAACTATGGCCCCTGCACATGATGCTGGGCAGTCTGTGTCTTCATCTGGTCTGACACACAGACCTTGCAGACCTGAACCACCCTAGGTCACTCTTGCCAAACTGGGACCTGTTGGACCCACTCTTTTCCTTCTCTCTCCCCCCAAAGACTCGGTGCAGCTTGACCCTGACCCTGCCAAACCCAGACCCACCAAACCCTGCCCTACTCCCTACCCCACACCCAGACCAGTTGACCATGCCCCCACCATTCCCAGAGCCCTCAAATATTGTCCAGACATCAGAGGGAGTGGAAATAGGCAAGTTCAGGCACAGGGGGATGTGGACAAGGTACTTTAGGTACAGGAGATTGGAGGTGGTTGGTCTGAATCAGGAGGTAGACATAGACGTAGGGTCCTGCCACTTTCCCTATGGAAAAGGGGGAAATGCATCCGAGGAGACCCTCACCCACTTGACCGGACCCAGAGTCACCCAACTAGACTCTAAACCTCCCTCCCCCATCCCCTTCTCCCCCACCACTGCAGATAAGGTTTTTCCCACGCAGATCCTCTGGTGTCCCAAGGAATCCTGTTTAAAGGCAAACCCTCAACATGGGGAAACTGAGGCACATCTCCATGCTGCCGCAAATCCTGGCTCTGTGGGTTTCCCCTCTCCACCAGAGCTGCTGTTCAACCAGTCAGGGTTTTCCCCACCAAATCCTTCATGGAGCCTCAAGTAAAACAAAATAAGTTCAGGAACAGGGTGCATCAGCCTGTGCATGTGGGACGGATGGGCATTCATTGCAGGCATTTGGAATAGAAGTTGATATGCCTGTTACTGACATGACATTTCTAGTCCTTTTTCAGAACCTCACATCTGCGAGAGGTTGGGAGGTGGGGATTATGGCTAGGAGTTCCCCAAGGGAGTGTGATCCCCTCGGGTGGCCAGCCAGTCAGCTCTGTCTTGTGCACTTGGTTGCTGTCTGCTGTCTTTTGCAGCCATGGAATCCTTCAAAGCATGCTGGGATGGATGCACAAGAGCTGTCTGCCTGGGTAGCGTCAGCAGCACAAGCTCCCTATTCTGTACTGGCCTGGCTCCTCTAACCATTGTACAGTGCTTGCCCAGTAAGATTTTGCACCAGGAAAACAAAACTGGGAGAATCTCTCAGATCATTTGAATGTTTCTGTGCAGTCAGGGATGATCTTGCCTTGAGCAGGGGGCTGGAGTAGGTATCCTCATGTGCTCCCATCCAGCCACACTTCCTTATGTTCCTATATTGCTCTTCTTCCTGCTCTCAGAATTTTTTTTTTTTTAATTTTTTTTTTTCAGATCAAAAGTTGGGACCAAACCAAAAACTCAGATCTGAACCTAAGTATCCAAAGGAGATCTGTTTCAGGCTCTCCTTTCTGAGCTTTGGGGTTTCAGTCTATTCTTTGTACTACAAAGAAGAAAAAAAACCCAATAAGGTTCCTTGTCACCGTAGCTGTATTTGATAATGGTGTGTAGGGTGTTGCTTTCTGGGGTACACTAATATTGTTTTTTAAAGTAGAACTGGGTTTCAGTAAAACTAGTCAATAATTCTGTGCCAGAGATTCAACTTAAATTATACCTAAGCATCTTTTTGGCAGAATTTATGAAGACCTCTGTGGATTAGCTATCACTTTCTTTTATCCAAAGTTTCCACAGAGGCAGTGTAGCAGACCTGGCAGTGTGAGGAGAAACATGTCCCACATGGCAGTCTATACTGAATGTCCTGGTAGTATTTTAAGGGATTAAGGATGGCAGGAAGGGCTGGTTATGACATGCCCTCTGCTGGCTGGTACAAAGAATTACACAAAATATTTTTTCCATCAAAACCATTAGAGCAGGACTGCATGACGGACAACAGCAAAACTGTGAGAATGGCAACCAAAGTAAAACACCATACACTAAAATTAGTCTGCTTCAATTCTGTAGAGTTGCTTCATCTCCTCAGTTGTATTTCACAAATATTTCCTATGGGGTAGAAGTTATATGTTGGTAGAAAAGTATATCTGAGAAACAGAAGGTGGGACTTGGTCCTGACCTTGATGGTTTTCATAGATCTAATTGTGAACTATGCCAAGTTGTATCAAAGCCTATTTAGATATTCTCTTTGTCTCATTGAAGAATCATTACAAGTAACTGAACTGCATTGGTAGAAATTGTTCTAAATAAGCCTTATTGCACGGTACTTAAAATATATTAAATCATTACTCTAACTTTGTATGCTATGCAAAATTTCCTTTAATAAATTTAAATCTTGGCTTTTCTTAAAGCATCTGATGAAAAACTAGTGAAACAAAAGTACCTTAAAACATATGCTAATAACTGCCTCATAAGATATCTTTGTTAGCAGCTTGTAAACTTGTCCCTCTTCTAGCAGGCACTTCTGATTAGACATTTTTGGCAAGCGTATATTATATTTACCATCACTGTTTTTATTATTTCTTTCCAAAATATAGGAACTTGCACTGACAGATTTCATTTGGCTGAGTGCTGTTATTCAGGTTCTCAAGCTATTTGCTAATATTTTTTTTTCCCTCTGCCACTTCTAATGTAGGTACGAGAGGAATGCAGACTCCTCAATGCTCCACCTGTTCCACCACGAAGTACAAAGCCCACATCCACAAGTCCTTCCATTCCTCCTCGTACGATCAAACCAGCACGGCAACAAACGCGTTCACCAAGCCCGACTCTGTCCTACTATTCTTCAGGACTGCACAACATGTATGTCTAAGCTGCAGAATCTAAATCATAATATGTTTGCTTTTTAATTTTATTTAATTTTTACATTTAACTAGCCTGTCAGTTTATTTAAAAAAGGTTAGTATACTGACTCTTCCTGCTATGGGTTAATTTATGCAAGTGGCTATTTTAAAATCTTCCAAAGAAGGCAAATTTGGGTAAGCAAGAGCTGCTAATTTATTATTTAATACATGGAAGTTACTATTTTCTGTAACACCTTGATTATACATAACACAAGATGGAAGTATAGAAGCTAACTTCAAGAGCATTTAACTTTAAAATAAAAACTTTTAGTAGTATGTTTCCATTGTATCATTAAAAACGTTAAATGCGGAAGACAGCATGTGCAGTATACATTCTGAATTGCAGGATCATATACTGTTTCTCAGTAGTACTGTTGGTCTCCCATGACTAAGTGACTATCTTGTAACTTAGTCTTGAATAAAGTATATTGTGACTTCAGAAAAAAAGTTACTATTAGAATATTTAATATTTTTTGCCAATCACAGGAGATGTATATCCGTTTTTGTTTCTGGCGGTCGTCGTCTTAGGTGCTCCAGGGAAAGTTGTTTGCAGCCCTCAAGGAGGAAATTTCTCTAATAACCTGCTTATTGGTGAAGTTGTTTTCCTGGATTTCCCCATTTTTAGAGGTCTGCACATACCCTGAAGCATGAAGACTTAAAGATCTATAATAACTGAATGTCTGCCCTTATCTAAACAAATGTCTATGACCTTTCTGAAGCTTGTCAGAACAAGGGCCTCAGTTACATCCTGTGGCATTGAGTTCCAGTGGGTTTATGCTACCATATGTGTGTAAGTTCTGAAAATGTTTACCTTGTCAGCTGTATACCTTCTGTTTCTGTTTTTCTTTTTTTAAAGTCACAGAAGACTTTCTTGTTCTTATATTGAGAGGGTATGACAGGAGCACCCAATTTTAATTTCTTTGTGCCATTTGTTGTTTCATACATTCCTGTGAGGTCTTCTCTTACTACCTTCCTCTCTGAATTAGACAGCCCTAAGGCCAGATTCTGTACACTGCCAAGATAACTTTGCATTGCATCATTAAGAAAATGCTTAGAAAGCAGATGGAGATGAGAATTTTTCCTGTTAAGAGTTATTCCTTTTTTCTTTGCTGTTGTAAGCCTTCCTCCTGCACAAACATGGCCCCCTATCTCTTAACTGTTTTCTTTGAGCGCATCTGCACATTCAGTAGAAGTTTTTGAACTGTCACACAATAATGTCCCAAGTTTCTGTCCTGACTGCTTGCTAAATTACAAGTAAAAAAAAAAAAAAAAAAGAATTCAAATAGTTCTTTCCATTGTGTTGGTTTGTCTCTGATACAAATACATTATTTTAAAATATGTTTTTAATATTTGGCAGAATTATTTTCCAGTTTTCTCACTAAAGCTTTATGGGTTCATAATTCCTAGGATCACACCTCAACATCTTTGTTATGATGGGTAAAGAATTTGATTTTCCCCTCCATATCATTGTAGCTGATTCTAATAGGAAGTTGCATGCTACTGTTGGCAAGTTTGACCCCTTGGTTTTAAACTCATGCAGTGCTTTTAGATGTTAACTGTCCAGCCTTGTTGGCTGACAGTAATTAGTTTTTATCACGGGCGACTAGTGCAGTGTGACCTGCCTTGGGTCCACTTCCGGGGGAAAAAAAGACAGTTGCCTTCACAGCTTAATTTAACTGTAAATTTAAATGGGTGTTTTATATAATACCAAATTATCACTGTTCTTTTTCACTTACTCTGTATTCTGCTTCATAAATGGCAGTGTACGTCTCATTACATGCTCTTTGTGGATCTCAAGTCATGAACAGAGTGGTATTTTAACAACTTTTAAATTTAAACCTTTTGGGGCAGGAATTCTCTCTTCCATGTTAGTGTAGCACGCATATTAGTACAATGGGGACTGAAACTTGAATGGGGTCTTTGGGTGCTAGCATAAATATATTTATGGTTGATAAAAATGCACCTGTCTAGAAGAGTCTGCATCTTCAGGTAAGATTGCTCCTATACCTTGGTAGTGTGAATAGGAAACTAGATAGGGGAGAGAAAAATGGTTATGTGAGGGATAGCATGTAGTTTCCTGGTGAGGTTAGAATAACCAGGGCAACTTTTTAAAGATATTTTGAACATTGTGGGAAGTGCAGAGGGATAAGAAGATTAACAGTGATAATAAATCAAGGTGACCTTTCTCAGTTCTTAATGTTCTCCCAGGTTTAGTTTGGAACACCCAGCCTCTGATTAAATATACATGTTGTTCAAGCACTTGCAGTTCTTTGCTTTAGCTACCTTTCACTCACTTTTTTTTATTATTTTTTTTAAAGCAGCGTAACAGAAAGTGACCCAACAGATCCAACCGAGAGTGCCCCTGTCTCTTGTTACCCTTGTAATGTGGTGACAACAGAATCAAAAGAGCCTGACAGCAAGATGCCTTTTGGAAGCCCCTCAGCTGAAGCTCTGTCTTGTAGGTTATCCTGGCCAAATCATTTTTCTGGAACTTCTGAAGGCCTAAATAGGAATGACTTCCTGCTGGATCCAAGCAGAAGTTATAGTTATCCAAGACAGAAGACACCGGGCACACCAAAGAGAAACAGTCCAGCACCTTTTACTTTTGACTTTGATGGGTGTGAAATCCCTGCCGGGTACTCGCAGCTGGCCCCAACTGAGTTCAGTAACGCCATCTCCAGTTGTCCAAAGTCTGCAAGTTACTCTTTAGAATGCACTGATGAGAAAACTCTGGCAGTCGGCGATACAAAGCAGAGCCATTCGTGCCCTGCCTTACCTCCTCGTGCACCAAAAATGAATGATGAGAAGCCAGCTGTAGACCTATGCCCTTTGCCTCTAAAAATAGATGGTGCTGAAGAAGAATCTCAGACTGGATCACCAGACCTGTCAGAAGATCAGTACCTTGTTAAAAAGGGCATGCAGGATGCTTTCTCTGTTTCTTACCCTCTTTCATCTCCGCGTCACTTTCAGTTAGCACCAAGGTCTTGTGGCGACGGCTCTCCCTGGCAGCCACCTACAGACCTTTCTGGACTCTCAATAGAGGAAGTATCTAAATCTCTGAGGTTCATTGGCTTATCAGAAGATGTCGTATCTTTCTTTGTTACAGAGAAGATTGATGGCAATTTACTTGTTCAGCTTACAGAAGAAATTCTTTCAGAAGACTTTAAGCTAAGCAAATTGCAGGTTAAGAAAATACTGCAGTTCATTAATGGCTGGCGGCCTAAGATGTAGTCCAGTGATGCTGACTGGTGTTTAATGAAACTGTATGTGGTACGTGCTAGGAGCACTGGGGCTAGTATGTCATTTCCTGTTTTTTGCACTAAAAGCCCTTCCTGTAAATAATAGTAGTAGAAGAAACTTACTATGCAGATAACATTTTGAGTGGTGAACGGATTCTTTTATATGTCAATACAAAATGTAGAGAACCTTATAGAAGTGTGCCTTGTGCATCACTGAACATTCAGCAGCTGCTAAAAACTGGACGTTAAGGGAATTTTTACTCCTTGTAGTCTGTCAAGATGTAGTATTTATTGCTGAATAATCAATGCTGAAAGACACACAAATCCAGTTTACAGTTTTATGTTAACAGCAAAAAATAATGCATTTCTTTTGGGCTTCTTTTTTTTTTTTGAATAGTAATTGGCAACATGCTATGACTTCTTTTAATTTCTGTTTCTCACTAAAGGATGCATTGAAATCTATAAAATCATCCTTTTCAACAATGTAGCAGAAAACATTAGAGCTAAACAAATGCTTTGAAGTGAGGCTCAGACAGTATGTTCTTCAAGATACTTTTACAAAAGTCTACCTGTAAAGTACTCATGGATAAACTTACTGTGTTGTTGCACCTGAACAAAACCCTTTTAATATTAAAAAATATAAGTCATTATCCCTGACGATAACATTTCGTCCTTATCTGGTTGTCTGTAGGGGAAAATCATTCCTACCGAACCAATCTGCCATTTCCATGTCTCAATTAAAAGCTCATAATCTGTAAATTTCAAAAGTGTCTTTGTCAGATCAGTGAAATAGTAACATGACTGCCAGGCTTCATGGGAAGGGCATCAAATAGCATGTTTCCTTTAGTAGATCCCAACAATGCAACAGTGGAGTCTTCTACAAATTGGGGGGCCATTTTGCTGGACCTTTTTGCCAGAAAGAAAACCAGTTTTCTTGTTGCTGTTATAAGATGAAAATACTGATTTCATGAGCTACACTTTACACTGCAGTCAGCTATATAGGCAGATCCTTGCAACTATGCAGAGTCCCATTGAACTAAAACATTGCTGAGGTGGAAGTGAAACGCAAAAGCACTTGAACTTCCCATAAAAGGCTGGATCTAAAAATATAGAGAGAGGACTCTAAATACCCTGAGTGAAATTGTATGCCACATCTTCAAGGCTTAGTCAGCACATACTTGGTTCTGCCAGCCTAACTCAAGTTCTGATGGCAAAACTCTGCATGTGTCTGCCCTTAGAGCAACTTTGTGGTGGCAGCATCCCATTTCTGACTGCAGTCGCACCACCTTGCCCAAACTAAACAGGGGTTCTGCTGCCACTGGCAGACAGCAGAAGATTCATCTGGACAACCCCATGCCTTCTGCCCACTGCAGCAATCCCATGAGCAGCTGGTACCCTCCTAGAAAGCACGGCACACTGTAGAGGCACAGCTGCTGCAGGAGTCGGGCAGAGTGACCAGAAGCACATTGGACATGTGCATGTTCTGGGGTAGATTTGTGATGCCAGCTGCTCTCTCTCCTTAGCACACAACCAAGCTAGCACAACCAAGTGTACATGGACAAGGCGTGCGAGACGCAGCATGGAACAACTGGTCCAAGTGCTAGCACAGGGGAAAGA